TGAAAAGTGCTATATAAATAAACTTGCCTTGCCTTGCCTTTGTTTAAGCACCGGATTGGCAAAACAGGAGAGTAAACCAGTCTGCCTTGATCTATGAATTCATGTCCGGGACTCTCACGGTATCTGCTGCCACCAGCTGTTTTATAGAAGGAACACCTCCTTCACTTCATGAAATGGCTGCAGCACCAGGAGGCAGCGGGACGTATAACTCCGCCTCTGAGAAGTGCAGCACCAGCGGGTAAAGATGTGCCTTTTTACGCACCGCCTTTGCTGTATTTACCTTCATCAAAACAGCTTAAGAGTGACTGCAGGCTGCTACGTGTTAACCACACACACCTCTACACACATCTCTACACACATCGAACTGCCAGATTACTCCCCCTTTTATTAGTTTTATGAAGGAGATGTCCAGTCACCAAGGCGCATGATGTGTGGTGTGTGTGTGTGTGTGTGTGTGTGTGTGTGTGTGTGTGTGTGTGTGTGTGTGTGTGTGTGTGCGCGCGCGTGTGTGTGTGTGTGTGTGTGTGTGTGTGTGTGTGTGTGTGTGTGTGTGTGTTTGTGTGTGTGTGTGTGTGTGTGTGTGTGTGTGTGTATGCTCTGCTCAGCTCAGCTGTGTGTTTGTGTCTGTCCGACACCGGCATTTGTTTTCAAATGACCATGAACAGTAATTTACACACATCTGGCTAACTCCATAGGTAACCTAGTAACCTATATGCGGGTGTTCCCAAAATAAATTAGTTTAATCTTAATCTCGATGTAGTGCTAAATGCTGTCGGACGTGCACCGGAACGAACGTCACTATCATAATATCTTCTGAAAACACACACACACACACACACACACACACACACACACACACACACACACACACACACACACACACACACACACACACACACACACACACACACACACACAACTCCTTCATAATGCGCCTTCTCCTCGTTTTCCCATCACTGGATTATCCGTAAATCATACAAACAAAACCAAAACGTTGATTTATCTGTTTTCCCGTTTTGGTTTAAAAACTGAATAACGTCGGTTTTTTGGTTTTCCGTTTTTCCGAAAAACCAAAAAACGACAGGTTCTTTTTTAAACATTAATATGTTTTGGATGCATATTGTTCTAGTATTTGTTCAGGCTATTACATACAATTAGCCTCTGTTGCTACCTGCTGGTGAGTAAATATTAAAATCAGTTAAAATTGACAACCTGTCCGCGATTGTTTTTTAATGTATCTGCCGGTCCTTGGCACAATAAAGGTTGGGAACGCCTGGAATAGACGGTTCGTCCACACGAGGCCGACACGGAAACGCGGATTCGGAGCCTCATCCCATAGCCCTGTGATAACGGCTCCCAAGGTGGGTAGATCTGCAGACGAAACGCTCTCGGGGGCCAAACGGCTCCGTGTGTACGCCCTATACGATCATTTCCTGATAACGATGACGCCATAGCCCCGCCTCTCCTGCTCACCCCCGTGTCACCCTCGTCATTGCTGATGTGTTTCGCCAACAACAACAATAATGGCAGATCACAGGGTTGCTTTCGTGCTCCAGACGCTACTGACCATGCTACAGATGTTAGTGCAACATCTACAGCGCCTCTACCACAACCATCAGCAACAAGTGGACATGGAGAACAACATGAACTACATGTTGCTAAATCCACCGCGGAAAATAAACAGAAGGGCAACCAGGTAACCATGGCAACCATGCTTGGGAGGTCTTATTCGCGGCTTTTCAATCAATCAATCAATCAATCAATCAATCAATCAATCAATCAATCAATGTTTATTTATATAGCCCAATATCACAAATGTTACATTTGTCTCAGTGGACTTTACAGTTTGTACAAAATATCAGTATGACAATACGACACCCTCTGTCCTTAGACCCTCACATCGTACAAGGAAAAACTTCCAAAGAAAACCCACAGTTTAAAGGGAAAAATGGGAGAAACCTCAGGGAGAGCAACAGAGGAGGGATCCCTCTCCCAGGACGGACAGACGTGCAATAGATGCCGTGTGTAAATTGAAAAGATAATACATTTGCAACATAGGTAGTCCAAATGTTTGGAAATGCATGTGTGTATAATAAGAAGATGAATCCATGAGGATATCCATCCAGGACCTATGATCCAGGACCACAGCCACGATTCAAGATCCAGGGCTCGCGATGCAGGACACAGGAGCGCAGGATCATCCATGACTCCGGATCCCGGCGTATATAGACACCAAAAAGAAAGACATTTGGGGAAGCTGGGTTAATCGGAACATGAGAGTACACAGGTATAGACAGAGAGAAGGAAGAAGTAAGATGTCCCCCGACAAACTAAGCCTATATCAGAAAAACTAGGGGCTGAATCTAATCAGCCCTAACTATAAGCTTTATCAAAAAGGAAGGTCTTAAGCGCACTCTTAAAAACGGATATGGTGTCTGCCGCCCGAACACAAACTGGAAGCTGATTCCACAAATGTGGAGCTTGATAAGACAAGGCTCTGGCTCCCATTGTACTTTTAGAGACTCTAGGAACAACCAACAACCCTGCATTCTTGGAACGCAATGCCCTAGTAGGACAGTAGGGTATAATGAGTTCTTTAAGGTAAGATGGCGCCTGCCCATTAAGGGCTTTGTAGGCGAGAAGAAGAATTTTGAATTCTATCCTGTGTTCTATAGGGAGCCAGTGTAACGCAGCCAGAACAGGAGTATTGTGGTCCCTTTTCCTAACCCTGGTTAGTACACGAGCTGCAGCATTTTGAATCAGCTGAAGCGATTTGACTGACTTCTTGGTACACCCTGATAATAAAGAGTTACAATAATCCAGCCTTGAAGTAACAAATGCATGGACTAGTTTCTCTGCATCGTTTTGAGGCAAGATATGCCTGATTTTTGCAATGTTACGTAGATGGAAGTAGGCGGTCCTTGAAATTGATATTATGTGGGCGTTAAAGGATAAATCCTGATCAAATATAACACCAAGATTCCTTACAGTCTCACTGGAGGCCAAATTAATGCCATCCATAGTTAGTATATCCTTAGATAATTTGTTTCGTAGATTCTTCGGGCCAAGTACAATAACTTCAGTTTTGGTCGTGTTTAACATCAAAAAGTTTAAGGTCATCCACGTTTTTAAGTCCTTAAGGCAGTCTTGAATTTTATTTAGATGATTAATTTCATCAGGTTTGATTGATAAATATAGTTGAGTATCATCCGCATAACAATGAAAATGTACAGAATGATTCCTTATAATATTGCCTAACGGAAGCATATATAATGTGAATAAAATAGGTCCGAGCACTGAGCCCTGTGGCACTCCATGGCTAACTTTGGTTTGCGTGGAAGATTCATCATTGACACGTACAAACTGAGAGCGTTCAGATAGATAGGACCTAAACCAGCCTAAAGCAGTTCCCTGTATGCCAACTAAGTGCTCTAGTCTTTGCAATAAGATATCATGGTCGATAGTATCAAATGCAGCACTGAGATCGAGCAAAACAAGAATAGAGACACGTCCCTTGTCAGAGGCTATTAGAATGTCATTTGTGACTTTAACCAGAGCTGTCTCTGTGCTATGATGTGTTCTAAAGCCAGACTGAAAATCTTCAAATAAATCATTGTTTTTTAAGTAATCACACAACTGTTTTGCGACTGCTTTCTCAAGAATGTTTGAGAGGAACGGAAGATTGGAAATATGTCTATAATTGGCTAAAACTTCTGGATCGAGGTTGTGCTTTTTAAGAAGCGGTTTTATCACTGCTACTTTGAATGATTGTGGAACATAGCCTGATAATAAAGACATATTCATAATATTTAATAAAGAAGTGCTAATTAATGGAAAAACTTCCTTCAACAGCTTAGTTGGAATTGGGTCTAACATACACGTTGATGGTTTAGAAGAGAGAATCATTGAATTGAATTGTTCAAGGTTTATGACTGAAAAGCATTCTAGTTTACTATCTAGTGTAATATTAGAACTTACGTTTCCGGGAGCTGTTGATAACACTATACTGGTCAAAGGCAAGAGGTCATTAATTTTGTTTCTAAGAGTAACAATTTTATCGTTAAAAAAGCACATAAAATCATTACTACTGAGTGCTATGGGAATAGAAGTATTTTTTAGTATTTTATGGTGTATTTTGTGGCGGAGGTACAGCGCCACTTACAGGCCCGGCATATGTACTACAGCGTTTCCAGCGGGTTGAGCGGTCTCGTGTGGACGGACACGTTTTGTTGAGCCGTCTCCAAGCTAGTTGTGAAGTTACAAGATCCTGAAGTTACAGACTGAACTTTGCATACATTTCTTCTACAGAAAGAAGCCTTCAATTTGGGAAACAGCCCTCATCCAAACTCTGCCAGCTCAAACATGCAGATTAAGCAACATTAGGCACATCTTTGGAGAGGATAGTGTCTACGATAAAGGACAAAATCATACCAAAATATCCAGACTGTTCCTCTTAATGTGGCATTATATAGCGTGTGCCAGGGCTTTTGTTCTATCAATTACTCCATGTTGGTGCTTTTGGGATCCTTCCAGGAAAGATGTTCTCTTCACTGTTTCACAATTTATTATGGCTTTTCCACATCTGCATCTGCAAGCATTAAGGAAGTGTTTTTCAGATAACACTTTTAATATTCGCATAACATCTGCATCTTTTTAGCTTCTCCATTTTGTTTGTGAGAAAAGGCAGTTAAACCTGATCAGGCTTTGTTCTAAATTAGTGACATGTTTTGCGCTGACAATCAATCTGTTTTCAACTACTAAAGCACTAAGTCTTTACATTGATGCATTCCTAAAAACATATTAAAAAAGCACACGTTTTTGCATTTCTTTGGTTGCATGAACAATTGTTTGTCTTGTGCAAAGTTGCCAAAAGAAAAAAGGAAAAATAGATGTGTTATGTAAGAGGCAGGCGGATCTTATAGTGACATCAGGAGCACCTTCCCCCTCCTGGATTATAAATACAGCCGTGGAGCCTGCAAGAAGCGCTTTCCCAACTCAGAGGAGTCTGAAGCTGAGAAGAGAGGGCCGGTCACTGCTGCAATCATCATGGCACCGGGAGCAAAGAAAGTGAGTCAATATTATGTCTCCTCACTTGATGTTAACATATAATCAATGTGTTTTAAATGTACTTGTTGCATTTAGTTTTGAAGCCACATATTGTGGTGCGTGTGTAAAAGGAAGTGGTGTTTGCCAACTACCAGATAGTGTATCAAACTATTTATTTATTTCCAGAGGTGGGAAAAGTGCAGATCTTGTATTTAAGTTAAAGTAGAAGTACCAGTGTGTAGGAATACAGGAGTCCTGCAATCAAAATGTTACTCAAGTAAAGTAAGTAGGAATAACTTGCATAATGATTTAAAGGACAATCATTGATCAAGTAAGGGGTGGGAATTAATAAGCATTTGCTTCCTCCTGCTCCCTTTCGGACACATATGATTTATTATTATTATTAATATGAAGACTTTTTTTGTTGAATATATAAATATTATCATGAATGTGGATAAATACTGTATTTTAACAATACGGTATTCTGTTTTTCACATTTGTTATTTGTTATTTGTTATTTTTTTAATCTGTTCGAAATATAGATTGAAATGAAATGAATGAAATGAATGAAAGTAGAAAGATATTGGCATCAAAATATACTTTAAGTACCAAAAGTAAAAGTAGTCATTGTGCAGATTGGTCCATTTCAGAATTATATATATTATATGTTTTGTAATTATTGATGCATGAAAGTGTTCTCAAAGCTGGTAAAGGTGCAGCTAGTTTTAATGACTGTGTATACTGCAGGGTAGCTTGTGAATTTACTCCAGGTGGAACTAAAATCTGATTTAAGAGTTTTATATCAATAATCCAAATCTGCAATGTAACTAAAGGTGTTAAACAAATATACTGGGGCAAAGTAGCAGCAAAATATTTATACTCAAGTAATGTACAAGTATCTCAAAATTGTACCCAAGTACAGTACTTGAGTAAATCTACTTAGTTACTTTACACTTAGTATACTTTGCTTATTTCTGTTCTTTCTTTTGACTCAGGGTATTCTGGAGCGTTTGGATGCAGGAGAGATTGTTTTCGGGGATGGGGGCTTTGTCTTCGCTCTTGAGAAGAGAGGCTACGTGAAGGCAGGACCATGGACCCCTGAGGCTGCAGCCGAGCATCCTGAAGCAGGTATTATTGATCTTTCTCTGGGCTACACCTGTTTTCTGACCTGTAATGTCAGTTTCATATCATAACCGAGATATTCTGCTGTTCTAGTGCGGCAGCTGCACAGGGAGTTCCTGAGGGCCGGCTCCAATGTCATGCAGACATTCACTTTCTACGCAAGCGATGATAAACTGGAGAACAGGGGCAACACTCTGGGCTTCTCTGTGAGTACTTTAATATGTGTGTGTGTGAATGAGTGTGTGTGTGTGTGTGTGTGTGTGTGTGTGTGTGTGTGTGTGTGTGTGTGTGTGTGTGTGTGTGTGTGTGTGTGTGTGTGTGTGTGTGTGTGTGTGTGTGTGTGTGTGTGTGTGTGTGTGTGTGTGTGTGTGTGTGTGTGTGTGTGTGTGTGTGTGTGTGTGTGTGTGTGTGTGTGTGTGTGTGTGTGTGTGTGTGTGTGTGTGTGTGACTGCAGGCTGCAGCTGCTCTCAAGTCTCATCTTCAGTCATGGAGATGGTTGGCAGCTTGGCAGCAGAGTTGGCATCAAACCAACTGACTGCAGCAAAGAACAGAAATAACATCATAGTGTTTTCTTGACATGAAAGTTCCATTTCCCTTTTGTTTTCTCCAGGGGCAGCAGATAAACGAAGCAGCTTGTGACCTGGCCAGGGAGGTGGCCAATGAAGGGGATGCTCTGGTGGCAGGGGGAGTCTCTCAAACCCCCTCTTACCTTAGCTGCAAGAGTGAGAATGATGTCAAAGCCATCTTCAAGAAACAAATTGATGTTTTTGTCAAGAAGGACGTGGACTTCCTGATTGCAGAGGTATGTAGTGAACACTGTTGGTAAGTTTGGTATGAGAGAAAATGTCTAAAAAGAAATTCAGCAATTAAGAAATGCAAGTGCCATAAAGCTTTGGGATAACCAGAAGGGTAAAAGTTGAGGATATTTTGATTTGAGTCCTGAGTAAAAGTTTTAAATAAATTACACTGGACCCTATATTTGCCTCCAGTCCTTGTAAATCAAGAACTCATCCTTAGTTACATTATTTGACTAAATAAAGCTCAAGAGCCTGTTTATACTGTCCTCTCATTCATAGTATGTAAACTGACCTGCTATTTGAGAAATCAGTGGAGTGTCCCTTTCTTTAAATAAAAAACAAAGCTTGATCCATATTTTACTGGCTCAAACCCCCAGAAAAATGTACATTCAAGTGTTTATATGTTTTTCCCCAGCCTGTAAAACCATCATTGCACTTCCAAGGAGTGTGTTCTTTTGTGTTTGGATGTAGTCAAACCACCTGCAATACATTATTTTAGTGACTTGGGGGAAGCATAAAATGATGCTGATATGTGATTTGATCTAATATAGCACCTACAATGGTAAAATCCTGAAATAGGGGCTGCAGTTTGAAATACTGCATGCATATTCTTTATCTTTGGCCACAAACAAGAGATCATATTTACCGTCACAATTTAAAGTGGGACCAAAAATACCCATTAAAGAATAACGACCCACTTCTCCTGATGTGTTTTGTGTGTTTCTGTTTGCAGTACTTTGAGCACGTGGAAGAGGCAGAGTGGGCCGTCCAGGTTTTGAAGAGCACCGGGAAGCCTGTGGCTGCGACCATGTGTATCGGACCCGATGGAGACCTGAACGGAGTCAGCCCCGGAGACTGTGCCGTCAAACTCATCAAAGCTGGTATGAAAATATCTCCATCTTTCAAAATACCTTATGTGACTTTGTAAAAGCCAGTCCTTCAGGGGGTGAAGGTGTCGAGAAATTGAGGTGAAAGTAACATAATGGCCTTCCTGTATTCCTGTAAACTGTATTTATTTGATGATTCAGTAGTGAAGCCAACTGATTTAATCCTCTTTATTGTCATGTGTATGTTAGTGTCAAGAATTTCATTAAGTTCTTGACTCTTAGTAATAGTTTTTTCGTTAGATATACAATGAGGGAAGGCTGGGTTTAACATAATACAGTTTAACTAAACTATTTTTGACTTTCATAGTTCACTCACCTTCAAACTGGTCTATTTATCAGGAATAGAAAAAACCTATGTGGGTGTAAAGGGACTTTAAGTGAATATTTGTCTTTTATGGAGTTTCACCTTTCTCTCCAAATACTTCTTTTTTTTTACAATTTCTAGGCTGATTTTGTTCATCAAATTATCTGTCAACAAAATACTATAAAAAATATGTTTCATTGAGACTTCAAACCTTTTTGAATTAAACTCTTAGAATGCACTATAACAAATAAACTGGCAACTTTTTCACTAAATAAACTGAAGTAATTTTAAGATTTTGTACACATTTTTTACTTTTTAATAGTCATATATCTTCATGAAGTTGTGGGTATCACAAGAAACCACATTTCAAATGATGTCAAATCCAAACGGCAGATACTGAGATATCCTGCCTGTGCAAAAATGCTGAGTCCTACATTTTCCATAATGAAACTTTCCCACAAGTCATCGTTGGGAGGGCATAATCTGAAGTGGGTAGCCAAAGGATTTTAAATAATCTGATTTTGGCGCCATCCGGTGGAATAACCTGTCAGACAAAAGTACACACTGCTGCAAAACATAAGCCTCGCCAATTTTCACCCACTTACTCAGGAAAATTGAAAACATTTCCTGTAATTTATTTAACCCGAGATAAAGTTTAGCATGCTTTCTTCTGTAGGTGCTCAGATTGTGGGCATCAACTGCCACTTTGACCCGATGACCTGTGTGAAGACTGTGAAGATGATGAAGGAGGGAGTGGAGAAGGCCGGGCTGAAGGCTCACTACATGTGCCAGCCACTGGCTTACCACACCCCCGACTGCAACTGCCAGGGATTCATTGACCTGCCCGAGTTCCCTTTCAGTATGTATACACTCTCAAAACTGATGCTTCTCAACATTAAGTGAGGAGTGTTAACCAACAAATCAAAAATGCATTTTGTTCCTCTTAGGGAAGTAGTTCAAATGCACTTGATTGCCCTTGTCTGATGGCAATTAAACAAAAACACTTGGGAAACTTAACATACATTTCTTTGTTGATGGCCGGTGTGGTTCAGAAGAATGGAAATAGTTCCTACATGAAACTGCTGACAAAAAGCTCTGTGGATTATCTTGAGTAATTGTTTTTGGAAAGACACTTTGCTGTTGTGTCTTTTTCAAATGTATTTGATTGGCACTTTAAACACCACAAGCCATCCATTTCCATTATATCCAATAGAAGGAAAACATTTTAGGGCCAATGTCTCCAACACTTAACCCACACCAAAACAATCTAGATTGATAAATAGCACAAGTAAGAGGAAAAGTATGTATTTTTTTAATTTTGGAGTGACCTCAAACCTAAATGTGACATTATGTTTTAATAAAAGTACCACCATGTGTTCTCCGACAGGCCTGGAGCCGAGGATCCTGACCAGATGGGACATGCAGCAATACGCTCGTGAAGCGTACAATGCCGGTATCCGTTACATTGGAGGCTGCTGCGGATTTGAACCTTACCACGTCCGGGCCCTGGCCGAGGAGTTGGCCCCCGAGAAGGGCTTCCTGCCTCAGGGCTCTGAGAAGCACGGCATCTGGGGCAGTGGCCTGGAGATGCACACAAAGCCCTGGGTCAGAGCTAGGTACTGGAAGGCTTTCTCCTCATGTTTTAATCTGAGAATACGTCCAAGTTTGGTTATTAAACGGTATTTCTCTCTGTAGGGCCCGTCGTGACTACTGGGAGAATCTGAAGCCAGCGTCCGGACGTCCCTTCTGCCCCGCTATGGCCATCCCCAATGGGTGGGGGGTCACCAAGGGCCATGCTGACCTGATGCAGCAGAAGGAAGCCACCTCTAAGGATCAGCTGAAGGTTCTCTTCGACAAGTCCAACAAAAGCAACTGAGCTCCCCTCTGAAGCATCTTGTTTTATAGGAAGAAGCTTGGAGAAGGCCAACGAACAGTGCCTGAAGTTTACAAACCAAAAAGATTGAAATGCTGAAGTTCTTTCTTTCTTTTTAGGACCTTTTTTACTGTGTGTGGAAGACTTGTATCATGCTTAAATTGGATAGTCATAACTAACCATGAGTGCCTGTAACCTTTTTTTCAACTGTGAGCCTGGTGAAATGACTGTGGCTGAAAATCTGTGAATGCACCTGAAGAAATGACTGTAACACTCCAAAAGTGCTTAATATTGTCTTATAAAAGAGGATTTGTAGCAATAAACTTCTAAATTGAATTTTTTTAAAACTGCTTGTGTGTGTTTTTCTTTTTTTAAGTATAAGAATACCTTATAAGGGAAAATGTTGATTTCCTGGAAGTTATCATTTTAGAATGAAATAAAAGATAAAATAATAGAATACAAATATTTATACAAATGCAAGATGTAAGAATAAGCAATTTAATATAATAAATAAATCTGAGAAATAAAAGTTAAAAGGTGTGGTTATATTAAAAATAGATACACGTATTAGTTATAATAAGATATTAATGCTGAATTGGGCCTTAGTACAAATTCATTAGATATTTATTGAATTGCTGATTGCAAATTAAAAACTATAAAATAATGTTGACACTTTTTAAATAATCAAATCAAGTTTTATTTATATAGCACATTTATAAACGATTTTTGGTCGAGCCAAAGTGCTGTACATATAATAAAAATAGCCTACAGTAGAGACACTTTACAGCAAATACAACAGCACAGATTGTTCAGAATATCAGTATGAGAAAAAACTGATGCTGAAAAAACTGATGCTTAAAACTGATGCTTAAAATGATTCGAAAACATAATGAAACTCAACTGAATCCGATAGTGAGTATAATATATAAATGTTGCTTATTTGATGCAGGGATGAAAAGTAACTACACTGAACAAAAATATAAACGCAACACTTTTGTTTTTGCTCCCATTTTTCACGAGATGAACTCAAAGATCTAAAACATTTTCTATATACACAAAATAACCATTTCTCTCAAATATTGTTCACAAATCTGAAAAAATCTGTGATAGTGAGCACTTCTCCTTTGCCGAGATAATCCATCCCACCTCACAGGTGTGGCATATCAAGATACTGATTAGACAGCATGATTATTGCACAGGTGTGCCTTAGGCTGGCCACAATAAAAGGCCACTCTGAAACGTGCAGTTTTGCTTTATTGGGGGGGTCTGGGGGGGTCTGAAAACCAGCCAGTATCTGGTGTGAGGGGTAGGGGTAGGGTTAGGGTAATGTTGTGAATCGAGTGGCCCATGGTGGTGGTGGGGTTATGGTATGGGCAGGCGTATGTTATGGACGACGAACACAGGCCACTCGATTCACAACATTACCCTAACCCTAACCCTACCCCTACCCCTCACACCAGATACTGACTGGTTTTCTGACCCCCCCAATAAAGCAAAAATGCACGTTTCAGAGTGGCCTTTTATTGTGGCCAGCCTAAAGCACACCTGTGCAATAATCATGCTGTCTAATCAGCATCTTGATATGCCACACCTGTGAGGTGGGATGGATTATCTCGGCAAAGGAGAAGTGCTCACTATCACAGATTTTTTCAGATTTGTGAACAATATTTGAGAGAAATGGTTATTTTGTGTATATAGAAAATGTTTTAGATCTTTGAGTTCATCTCATGAAAAATGGGAGCAAAAACAAAAGTGTTACATTTATATTTTTGTTCAGTGTAAGTACATTTAAGCTATTAAAGTACACTGTTGTCGTACTTGATCACCTCCATTTTCGGCTACTTTTAAGAGGCCTTTAACTAAATGTATTTAAATGATTCATTTATTTAATTTGCAGATTCAAATTCAAATAATAATTTGAATTTCCCCCCCGGGAAAGAGCAAGAGTTACCTCTGCTGCAGACTATAAATACATAAGAGTTACCAGCCTTTGAAACCGCAAATTAAAGCACGTCAGATCAGAGCCCACATCAATGATCACAGAGCTCAAGTAGCAGACAAATCTCAGCATCCAGATTGTTCAGAGGAGACTGCGTGAATCAGGCCTTCATGGTCCAATCGCTGCCAAGATCCACTACTGAGGATGAACAACAACAAGAAGAGAATAGTTTGGGCCAAGAAACACAGAATGAACATTAGACCAGTGAATTTTTAATGAGTCCAAATTTGAGATGTTTGGTTCCAACCGCAGTGTCTTTGTGAGACGCAGAGAAGGTGAGCGGATGGTTTCTGCATGTGTGGCTCCCACCGTGAAGCATGGAGGAGGAAGTGTGATGGTGATTTATTCTAAATTCAAGGCACACTTAACCAGCATGGCTACCACAGCATTCTGCAGCGCCATGCCATCCCATCTTGTTTGCTCTTACTGGGACCATCATTTGTTTCTCAACACACAATGACCTCAAACACAGCTCCAGGCTATGTGAGGGCTATTTGACTAAGAAGGAAAGTGATGGAGTGCTGCGTCAGATGACCGGACCTCCACAATCACCCGACCTCAACACAATTGAGATGGTTTGGGATCAGTTGGACCGCACGCAGAGTGAAGGAAAAGCAGCCAACAAGTGCTCAGCTCCTCTGGGAAGTCCTTCAAGACGGTTTGAAAACCATTCCAGGTGACGACCTCATGAAGCTGACAGAGAGAAGCCAAGAGTGCAAAGCCTTTCATCAAGGCAAAAGGGGGCTACTTTGAAGAATATAAATCATATTCTGGATTTTTTAACACTTTTTTGTTTACTAGAGAATTCCATATGTGTTCTTTTATAGTTTTGATGTCTTCAGTATTGATCTACAATGTAGAAAAAAAATCTAATAAATAAAAACCTTCGAATGAGAAGGTGTGTACGGACTTTAGACTGGTACTGTATATTATTGTGTTATAATTTAATAGCCTATAATATATTGCATAAAATGAGACATTCTGCATAGTGACTTATTTTACTTTTGATCATTTAAGTATTGTTTGATTCTATGGTATCAAACAATGCAAATAACAGCAGTGTTAATCTTTTGTTCCCTGTTTAAAGAAGACAGATTATATGTGCTGCTGCCCTCTAGTGCATGAAAACACAAAATGTTTTTAAAACTGGGATTTGTGTGTGAGAAAGTATGTTTTTTTCTGGATTACCTCAGGGATTTTCATTTCATGTAGTTGTCGGCAAAGTGGTGTGGGAATATAAGGACGTGATATTACTCTGTAAGAAACTTTTAAAAAAAAGGGTATAATAATAATTCACAACACTTATCGAGTGAACCACATTTACCATGTAACTAAAGGTCCTCATCCATTATAATTATAATTGAAATATGTGGCCTTGGTCGAGTGATAAATGGTTTACGTGTACTGTTTCCAGACAACCCTCTCTTTTTTCTCCTTTATTCAAGACAATATAGATGTACTGTACATCAAACATTATATGCACACTAAACATTGACATCAAGGGTAGGGTAGATAGGTATACAGGCCTACATATAGAACAAAATATATAAGGAAATAATGAAAGAAATATAAAGAAAATAAGGATAATTAACAATTTCAACTAAAATATGTATCAAATACACATTTGCTTGTTAACAGACACTTGTGAAAATGTAATATTTCTTATTTTTTAAGCTTTGTTTATCTTTATGTCTTTTGTCTCTGTTTACTAGCCGTACAGCATCCTGCCGTCGTTACGTTCTGCGCGCCTACGTCACGGATTTGCCCACGTGCAGATGTTTATGCTCCTCGTGCACGTCTCCAGGGGACAGAGCTATTATACATCCATGGGACAGAGGCGGAGAGAAACTGCGACTTGAAGAAAGCAGAATGAAAATAGAGGATAACTGATAAATAATGTATTTTAAGACATTCAATTACAGAATTAGAACAAATATAATACAAACAAAATAATGCAGATTAATGTTAAGCATTGCCTGACGTTCGGTTTGATAAACTCTCCAAGTAAAGGGACAATTGTGCTGCCTTCAGGGCCTATGGAAAAAAAATGTTTTATGAGAGTTTACTTACTAGCACGAAACATGTCTTACCTTAAAATTATGATTTGAGAACCTTCATCAAGATGTATTTCGCATACATCAAATATCTATGAATTATTTAACTATAAAATGTATTATTATCCTTCATAACAAAAGTCAAGATTTTACACAACATATAAACTGTACATAAATATATTTCATTTTGATAGATACAAAAGTATTAGCATCAAAATACACTTGAAGTACCAAAAGGGCAGATTGGCTCATTAAAGAATTATATATATAATATGACTTGTTTTGATTATAATTATTGATGTAATACTGTGTTTATCACAGCTGGTAAATGTATAGATCATTTAAAATCCTGCTTATACGGCAGGGTAGCATGTGGATTTTCTCCAGGTGTGACTAAAGTCTGATTTAAGTGTTGTTTAAATGTCTTATGATTATTCCGAATCTGAAAAGTAACTAAAGGTATTAAATAAATGTGGTGGAGTAAAAGTACACCATTTAGCTCTGAATGGTAGTGGAGTGAAAGTACAACTTGATTAAATGTACTTAGTTCCCTAACATCAATATTATACTATGTTGTACAACAGTATTATTTTTGTTTCATCACGTTCATTTCACAATTACAGTGGCTTCTTTCTCTAACACTATCATTTGCTATTTACTTCATGAAACCTGAACGCAACACTGAGAGGGGGGAGGGGGTGCACCATTTAAATCCCTCCCCGGATTTGACAAACGCACGCACGCACGCACCTTGTCTTGCTTGTAAACAGAAGTTCACACGTGACACCGTCGCGCGACCGCATTGTCTGCAAGCGGACAAAGAGCAACGGTTAGTTATCACCGAGAAACGGGCAGGTGGTGTCATGACAACAACGGACAGTATGGATCTGACTTTCCTCCGTGGTTTGCGCCGCTGTGTGCGAGCTCGTACGGCCGCGTGAACTTCTTTAATGTCTGGATCCCAAATCCGGCGGTGTGGGGGGATAACGACGTTGGCTACGGTGTTTTTTCCAGCTCACACGCAGCTGGCAGCGGGTAAACAAAGCTGGACCGCCTTTGTTTCCCTTCTTAATTTACCTAGTTGGAGGATTCACTTCACCTGCGTCAAATCTTACTTTTCCAGCTAACGTAAGCTAACTGTTAGCGTCGACTTTAGGTTTTTTTTAATTTATTTTTAGCTAATCTCTTTTTTTTTAACTGGCTGCATGAGATGTCATTCACGATGGAGGATAACTTGGAGTCCGAATGGGTGTCCGTCAGACCGAGAGTCTTCGACGAAAAAGAGAGGCATAAATTC